CTTGGGCAGAAACCCAGGAAGGAGAATACCAGTAAGAACTTGCCACTAGAGCAGCCGGCTGAACACTTGCTACCGCCATTCCTGGCACCGAGGCCACTGGACCCTCATTGCTGAATACAGAGCGCTAGATTCACTAATTTGCTGCATTACCTCCAACTAACCTTGTGTCAATACTTTCAAATCCAAAGTTCAGGTGGGAGCATTTGATTGATTTGATTAGGTCATCTTCTTGGGCCCTAGCTTCTGGGGGTGGGAAGGGGAATACCTACTCCCCATCCCCTCCCCAGTTTTTATAATGAGAGCTCGAGTTGTCCTGCCTAATTTTTCCCTCCAAATAGGACGGAAGTCTGTTCAGATGTTGGATAGTTGACAGACGAGCACATGATGTTCAACTTCACTCCTACAAATAAAAGCACATCAATATGCCATCTTTTGTTCATTGAATTGGCCAATGTGAAAAAGACTGAAAAACTCAACACTGTCTTGGGATTGGGAAATGTGCACTCCCCATTCATTGTTTGCAGGATACAACCTTTCTGGAGGTCAGCTTGACAATAGGTGTCAGAATATGAAATGTGCATACCCTTTGATCTGATGTGTCAGCTTAAGGAGATAGTTGCAGGAACGGACCAAGTTTAGATCATGACGATATTCACTGTGCTGTTGTTTCTAATTTGTGTCTCCCTAGCTCGGGGGTAAGGGGTGAGTACAGAGAGGGATGGTGGAAGATTTACTACAGAATGTTGTTTGGGGTGGGTCTCAAAGAATGACTATCTGAGCGCTCTTACTAGCGTTTCTTTTCCAAAACTGTTCTGGCCAAGCTGGGACAGGATGGCTTTGGGGCCCCATTGTACCAATAAGCCTGGAATGGTGGGAGGGGGCCAGATTGGGTAAGGGGTTCATGTGTTCCACCAGGGAGTTCAGGTGCTGATTAGATATCCTGCTGCCAAATAGTCAATATGCTATATGATGGCTACCTTACTAGGTATCCAATAATGAGCAAGACGAGCCTCTGCTGGGTTGAAGCCTGCACTTTAGGGCAGGTGACAGACTGTAGGCTGACTTCCAGCATGGTCAAGTGAGTGTCATGACTGAGAGAACTTGCAGAGGGGACGCCTCCTGGAGCAGGTGATTCCTAAGGTGAGACGTTAAGGATGTGGAGAGGTTAGCTAAGTGAAGAGGCTCAGGAAAGGGGTTAGGGACAGAGGAAACAGCTTGAGCAAAGGCCCATATGTCTGGATCAAATTGCCTGAGAGTGTGGCGGGAAGAACCAGACAGTCCATAATGTTGGATGATAAGTGGGGACTGGAGGACCACTCCTACGTGAGAATTAGAGAGGATCGTATTTTATTGGACTCCAGTGACCACGGAAACCACCCTCCGCATTAGTGCTGAACTGTACCAATTACATTTTGGATTTCGGGTACATGCTGGTGGGAAAAGGTGGCAGTGGCAGCTGGGTAGTACTGGGCTTGGGGAGGGGGCAATGTTCAAAGAGTGAACCCCAGCTTGCTCCTGTCTGGCCGTGCTAAATCAAGGGAGTCAGATCTGGTGATGGGCTCAGCCCTAATGTCTCTGAAGCACAGGACAGAATGGGATTCCAAGTGGCTTGTTTGAACTAGAGAGGAGGGCTCGGGCAATGGAGGCTAAGGCTCCAGTATAAGGAAGAGAAGCAAGATGGTAAACTTCCACTGGTCTTTGACTCTCAGTTTAATAAATTTAAAAAAAGAACAACATTTGTTAGCACATACTGTCTGCCAGGCATGTATGCTAGTAACGGAAGGCATGATGTTCCGTAAAGCAGCCGGCAGGAGAGCCAAGTGGACAAAGCCTGTTGGTGGAGAAGGCAGAGGGTTGCTTACAGCAGCTGGGAGAAAACCTGATCTCCACCAATTCCAGATCTGTCTTGGGTTTGAATTTCCCAGAGCTGATTAAAGTTGCTCAATGTCTTAGTTTGGGTTCTCCTTAGATCAGAGCCTGAGACAAAGGCCTGGGTGCAGGTAGTTTATTTGGGAGGTGATCTTGGAAGCAGGAGTGAGGGAATAAGAAGAGTGAGACAGAGAAGTCAAGAAATCCAGAAAAGGGTGTGTTATTGAACTGGTTACCACTGAGGGCACGTGGGGCTCAATCCCGCCGGGGACTCGCTGAAGAATCCTGCGGGATGCGCCACAGGGCTGTCCATCCGAAGGATGGGAGGCTGGGGCACTTATCCACTGGCTGGTATTTCCCACTGGTCGAGGGTTGCCCCTGTTGGGGGAGGGGGAATTGTGAAATCAACTCCCCCAGTGAGTTCTTTGGCTTTAAAACTTTCAGGCAGAAAAGCAAAGAGATAAACAGCAGGCGTTTGAAGTGGGGGGCTGTCACAATGCCATGGCTCACACCATGGTTTATAGCTGTGGCTGAAATAGAGATGAGCTCAGGGCACGAGACATGAGGATGAAAGCTTTTGCTCTGCTCAGTTTCTCTCTGAGGCAGCTTATTCCTTCAACCAGACATTTATTAGAACCACGGTCAGCGCTGGGCATCTACGGTCAGCAAAATAGATCTAGTCTCTGCCTTAAGGGCTGATAGTCTTTTGCAGATTTGGAGCGAGCGTGATGGGTGCTGTGAACATCTGAGTTCAAAATGGAGACGTGCTAAAAAACAAAAAAATAGAAGCAGCATAGGGAAGCTAACCTTGCGGGCTAACGTCCACGTCTGCTTGACATCTAGCGAGACCACAGCCCCCAAACCCTTTCCATCTCCTAAAATCAAGCAAGCAGGCAAACAAACAAACATACAAACAACTTTTAATATCATGGCTGAATATTGTGATAAAATATTGTCAAACTGCTTGAAATTCCACCAAAAGCTATTTCTTTTTTTGTCGCTCCCTCCCCCACGATCATCATATTTGAATTAACTCAAACATATATGCAAAGGTCTAGGGCCATTGCATTCACACTTTAGTAAGAATAATCAGATTGCTTTCTTCCTGATGTTCAGATGAGCTCAAGGTGCAGTAAGGAATGAATATTTTGACCAGGAGGTAGGAATGGAGGTGATATGGGGGCTAGTGCTGAGCATCCTGGGGGTGTCACCATAAGGGCCCTGCTTACTATGGGGAGGCAAGCCAGAGGCAAAAGCCATTTACTCTGACCTGTGGTGTAAGGTGGGATTTATGTTTTAAAAGGGAAAGCGCTCTCCCTTCCCTATTTCTCCCTTCTGCAGTAACCAGGACTCAGGCTAAGGGTTAGCAAAGAAGAGAATCTACAGAGAGGTCTCAAACCAGCGGATTTCAGGCTGAAGGCAGCACAAAGATGTACTTTTTTTTTCTGCACTATTTTTTTATTTTTTAATTGAACCAACATTTAAAAATAGGATTTCATCTTCTCTTAAAAAATCAAATGATCTGAACCCTCATTTCTGCGTGCGTGAGAACAATTGGCTAGAGCAGCCACTCCCTTCAGAAGGATGTCAGTTTGCTGTTTGCTGTATTCCCCACCATTCCTTATATTCTCCCCAACACTGAAAGCCAGGTCATTTGAAGTATTAATAGGTCAATATGATGACTGAAACACCACGGTTCTTCACTCACTGATAGGACCTATCTTAGTCCCTGTGATATTTGTGGGTCTGTGACCTTTCGTTTAGAGGTCAAGTCTAGGGGCTTTGAAACACACTTGGGTTTGAAGCAGATAAGAGTCACACCAATCTCAAAGGCATTGAACTGAAGATATTGCATGCTTAGCACAATGCTTGGAACATAGCAGCTATTATCGACATCCACTAGGAGTGTAAGCTGCAGGAGGGCGGGCAGAAACCGCATTAGTTTCATACTTTGTCATATTCCCAGCATCTAGCACAGCGTCTGGCACGTAGCAGTAACTATCTGTTCAATGAATGAATGATGGTGGAGCTTAGCGGGGTTTTAAAGGCTGATCTAAAAACGACGGTAACTCTGATAATACTGTTTCATTGCGACCCCAAGGTGCCGCCTGGAAGACAAGCCCGCCAGGACGTGCCAGCTCTGTGTTGGCGTTCGGGTGGGCACACAGGCGGTCGGGGTCCCTCGGGAGCCAGGCTGGGCTGGCTTGCCCAGGACTGGTCAGTGCCACGTCCATCACCTCTTCCAAGGTCTGGTAAGAGGTAGCGTCCTGATCCCTGGACTTTCCCAAGGCCTCCGCCAGCATATTAGCGAAGCCAAAGACCCACCCCGGGGGTCCACCACCCAGCGCGAACCCAGCGCTCTCCACCACGCCCGGACTCTGCCCACACTAGACATGGCCTCTCTCGGGCTTCACACAGCAAGACTGCGCCCGGAGCCGCGAGTCATTTCGTCTGGCTGGAGGGGCGGCTCTGTTCCCACAGTCAACATGGCGGC